AGACAATTGTCAATTTCTCTGACGTAGAAATTATACAGAAGGGGGCTTAAACATGAGCCCTGGGGGAGACCCATGTAGCTAAATCGTGAAGCTGTAGAGTTTCCATGAGAAAAGCTCATATGTTTCTCTGACAGCAAATTGTACAAAAAGTTATTAATTAATGGAGAAAGGCCACAAGCGTGGAGTTTGTCTGAAAGGACTTCAACCGATACTGAATCAAAAGCCCCCTTAATATCCAAGAAGACAGAAGCCATTTGCTCTTTATTAGCAAAAGCCAACTGAATTTCAGTGGAAAGCAACGCGAGACAGTCGTTCGTTCCCTTGCTTCTACGGAAACCAAATTGAGTATCTGAGAGTAGGTGGTTCAACTCAACCCATTTGTCCAGGCGAAAAAGGATCATTTTCTCCAACAATTTTCGAATACACGATAGCATCGCAATGGGACGATACGAGTTGTGATCTGACGCGGGTTTTCCAGGCTTTTTAATGGCTATAACTCTCACCCGCCTCCAATCATCCGGAACAATATTAAGCTCCAGGAACTGACCAAACAAGTTCAACATGCGCCTCTTAGCGACGTCTGGGAGGTTCTTCAACAAGTTGAACTTGATTCTATCAGCCCCCGGAGCCGAATTGCCACACGAAAGGAGCGCGAGTGAGAGCTCCAGCATTGAAAAAGGCTGGCTGATCTCGTCTACCGAATTCGTCGTTTCGCGAGGAATCATCTGTGCCGGCACAGAATCAGGACATACTTTTCGCGCGAACTTGAGAATCCAACTATCGGAGTACTCCTCGCTCTCGTTGTTTGAAGACCGGTTACGCATCCTTCGCGCCGCATTCCAAAGCGTATTCATCGACGTTTCGCGCGATAATCCGTCCACGAATTGCCGCCAGTATCCGCGTTTCTTGGCTTTGATGAGGCTCTTGAGTTCGCGTTCAAGAGCCGAGTACGCTTCGAAATGTACGGGTGTTCCACGTTTCCGGAAAAGCTTAAACGCGTCGGATTTTTTACGATAAACCTCAGTGCATTGCTGGTCCCACCAAGGGGAAGGAGGTTTCCTACGGAAAGACGTTCCTGGAACCGGCCGAGTTTGAGCTTGAAGCGCGCTGTCCAAGATCAGATTGGAGAGGAAGTTATATTCCTCCAACGGTGGAAGCCCTTCTACCGACGTTAGGGCATCTTCTATCACATTCTTGAACTTTGTTCAATCGATATTACGGGTAAGATCGTACGCGACGTTAACGGGTTCCGACGGATTGAACCCACTGGCAACTGAAACCTTGATCGGCAAGTGATCACTACCGTGGGGATCTTGGATCACATTCCACGTGCAATCCAACGATAATGAACTAGAGCAAAGTGTGAGGTCTAATCTACTTCCATTCGAGGATGGGCCAGCCAAACGTGTTACTTCTCCATTGTTAAGAATTGTCATATTAAAGTTGTCGCAGAGGTCATATATCAAAGTAGAATGGTTGTCATCATACAGTTCCCCCCAGCCTGTACCGTGGGAATTAAAATCTCCCATAATCAACCGTGGAGCAGGAAGTACCGAACAGATATCTGAAAGTTGTTTGCGATTAACAACGGCTCTAGGAGGAATATAAACAGAAGCAATACAAAGGCTCTTACCTTTAATAATAGCCTGACATGTAACAACTTCAATACCTGGAAATTGTGGAAGATTCACTCTATAGAAGGAATGGCATTTTTTGATCCCCAAAAGTACCCCTCCTCCACGCGAATCCTCACGATCCAGTCGAATAATGTTAAAATCATAAAAAGGAAGATCTATATCTGAAGAGAGCCAAGTTTCACAAACAGCAAATGCATCACAATCATTATTGTGAACTAAAAACTTAAAAGAATCTAATTTAGGAATGAGACTTCGACAATTCCACTGTAGAACAGTGATCAAATCCCCGACCTCGTTTGGAAAATTATCCATCGAAGGAAATGATTGCTGCAATGAGGGGCCACTTCAATGTCAATTGCTTCAAGAGGGTCTTCACAGAAGGAAGCATTGCCAGAACAATGCTTTTGAGAGGATCAGAAATATTGAGGTACTTGAGAATATCGTCCACAATTTTATCAAATGAGAACAACCCGGATGAAGAAGGGGCTTCTGTTCTTAAAAATGGGCCATCAGGGGTTTTTGATGTCCCCGGGAGAGATGGAAAATTCTGGTTATAATCAGTTCTGCGGAAACCAGGAGGAGTTGAAACTTCCTTTTTTCCATCACTCCTTGATTTGGGCAAGCTGATTTGGGGTTCCTTATCTGCAACTTTCCGCGAACGGATGCGTTTTCGTTTCCGTGCAGAACCTTCCGGAAAACTGAAAGAAACTCCCTCCTCAGCCAAGTCAGAGTCAGACTCGTCATCAGACAAAACAGCAAAGGGATTTTTGTCGTTGGTTGATGGTGGGGCTGTTTTTAGCATTGCTGCAAAAGACTGCCTGGAACGCTCCTTAAGAGAGCGTTCTAGTTTCTCCCCGCGTTGTTTGTACGCCGGGCACGATGAGAGACCATGAGGAGTTCCCTTACAGTACACGCATTTTGGTGCAGTGACTGTGCAGGCGCCATCCTCGTGCTTCTCCCCGCATTTGGAACAGCGTGCCTTGCTGCCACAGTGAGAGGCCGTATGTCCCAACTGTTTGCAATTTTGGCAGTTCATGACCCGAGGAACAAACAAACGCACAGGTAGCCGAAGTTTTCCCAACTCGATGTAGTGAGGAAGGGCTGAACCAGAAAAGGTCACCCGAAACGAGTCTGTGGGGGTAAAGCTCTTTTTACCCTCGCTGAAAGATACTGAGTTCAGCTTCTGGACTTCCAGTATCTCAACCGTGGGAAGCAAGGGGTTCTTGAAACGGCCAACCGCTTGCTTCGCCAAGATCTCGGGGGTCAGACTCGCTTCGGTGACCACACCTTCGATCTCCACATTACGAGCTGGGATGTACACTCTATACTCGAGTGTAAAGAGCTGGGAGGCAGCAATCTCGTTAGCTTGTTTCAGGTTAGAGACGACAACGCGAAGTTTATTGTACCTCACCTTCGAGATTTCGGTCACGGCCGAGAACCGCTTCGTCAGATCATTAGTAATTTGCATTACATTCAAAGGTTTCTTTTTGGGCTGAAAGTAAACAACCCATGGGCCAGTCGAGTCTTCTGGGTAGGCTCGCGATCGGGGGTTTATCTGTCCCTGTCCATTACCAGACTGAGATGACGAAGCAGGGATGGCATCATCTGATTTCTGGGATGACAGACGTTTTCGACCCTTCTTGCTATCGCGTGGCAAAGTGGTGTCGTCTTCCGACAAAACGTCCATTTCGTCTTCTGACAAAATGTCCATTTTGCCGTACTAGTGGGAGCGAAAAACGCTCTACCACTGAAACGATAATCACTCGGACACAATACACAAAAAAAAAACTACAAACACAGAAACACAAACTTAAAATTAACTGTGGGCGAAAGAAAGAAACAAGAACAAAAACTTATCTGATAATCCTATACTACTACCACCGAGCGTTTACACAGCAGCAGCGGAGCGACGCGCAGCTTTGATGATCTTCGATCCGCGTGTGCGGGCGGTCTTCGTTGGTGTGTGCTTGTATGAAGCTCGGCACTCAGCTGAACACACGAGATGGATGAGCGGTTTGAATGTGGAGGCAGATGCTGACACTCGATGACGATGATCCGTGTGCACAGGTATGCGTGACCACGCACCGATGGTGCGCAAAATGGTTGGCGAATTGGCAATCGCAAAAACAATTTTCCTTCCGATGATGCCAAAAACACACTTTCTTCTCAGAAAAAAACTCACTTTTTGATAAATCTATCGGGAATTATGCCAGGAATCACTAAGCGAGAAAAAAACTGATTATTTACGTCAGATAATAGCGAGAAAACTTCCAAATTAACGGAGCGCGAAACAAGTCGACCGTTCTTCTTGCTAGGACGCAGTGCCTCATTTATTTGTTCAATAAGGCCTTGTACCGCATGATGGGCATGTGTTTTCTTCCGAAAAAAAAAAAATACACCATCATATTTCAGCCTCCAGTGTTAATCCCCACAACAAATTTCTCAAAAAATAGTATAACCCCTTCGTTTCCTTCCACTCGCCCCCCAAGAGCCAACATCGAGCATAAACAGAGCCCATCTGAGAAAATCCTCACCTTTTGATGGCTATATCGTCCCACGAGTATGGTTTTTGATTACGCTGACGATGCGCATGCGTTTCAATGCATTAGGCCTAATTTGGAATCCGTAGGCTGAGTTTGGGGCCTAAAAGCCATGTTAGATTTTTAACAATATCTCAACAATTTGTTTCTCTCGAGCAGATCTTACAGTACGTACGGGAAGGTAAATACATTTACCTTAAAATAAAGGCAAAGGGCGGGTTGTGCTTAGCACGCCCAAAATTGGATGTACTCAATGTGATCTTTAAAAGTTAATGTTTGTTGAAGTACTAGTTCAAGACGTTTCACTTGATTTGACCAGGAAATTGGAACTCTGTTCATAGTGACAATGTGACTACTACTAGTTTTTCAAAAACGAAGCTCTAGACTTATGTGGAGATTGTATAAGTTAAGTTTTCGAAGAAATATTCCATTTTTGAAAATAAGCAGAGACAATATCTAAACTTATCTGCAGTCTGCTGCAAATAACACGAAGACTTCTTCCTTTAGTGGAAATGCCTGCAACTCTGAGGCAAATCAGGGAGGTCCGAAGTGAAATGTTTTACAATATCGACCCAAGAATGCTACCCTGAGGAACACAAGCTCTAACAGATAGTCAGTCAGAGTAGAGTTCCTTAAGTTACATAATTTTGAAATAATATAGAGTGGAAAATTAAACTTTTTCAATATGGAAATCAAACTTTCATGCCAAACACTGTAGAATGCTTTTCCTATGTTTATAAAAGCAATGTCCAGATTATTTTGAACAAATAGACGTAAAATACTTATGATAAATGTTACTAATAGATTATTCTTTTCTTTTTAGGGAAAATAATGGAGCCCACCAAGGAACGATTAATCTATGCATGGGGTGGCAATATTGGCAATCATGGCAACAAATACGAAGAAGATTTAGCGTTGGTGCTGTTTGAGCGAGCATCTTTCGGGAAGTCAGCATTCAAACTTGCTTCAGAAATGAAGGACGCTGGAAAATTTGACGACGTAGTCATAATTTTCGAAGAACAGGAGGAAATCTGGTTAATCCAAACCAAACACAAAGGCAGCTCAGGTGATACAAAACCATTATCGTTCGACAATTTTTTTCCGAAGATGTTCAAGGAGAATAAAGATTTTGCTCTTGTGCAGTACATACAGTCATATTTAGATGTCATTCAAAAAGATAAATTCAAGAAGTATAAGCAACGATTTTTTATCTTAACCAATAGATCATTAGACGTTAGCGATGAACAGCTTAAGAAGTTGGTGAACATCGAGATCTGTGAACAAAGTGAAGTGAACCCAATAATGAAGTTAGCTAAATCCGACAATTGCTACATAAGATTCAGACCAAAAGAGGATAACATTGAAGAATTACTGAATTTGCTGAACACCGAAATAACTGCCATTAGGGATGCAATCATTGAACTCTTCAAAAGTGGAAAAGCTTCGGACTTACTGACGAAGTACAAAACACCAATGCAGAAGATCCTGACAGTTTTAGCTAAAAATCCAAATAATGATAACTCAAACAGCCAGGTCGATACCACCCATCAATGGTTGTACAATGAGCTATTAAATAAGATTGATAGAGAAGCAACGGTAAACATAATAAAAAATAAAGCGTATCAAGATCTGATGAAAGGTAAATCTAGGGACACACAACTACCTCCATATATAAATGAAGAACGCGTGAACAAGTTCTTTCAGCATCTAACTTTCTGTATAGACCAACCAAGTGATCTAATGACAACCGTCAAGGATCATCTTCGCTCATGGATGAGAACTTGGATTCCACCGGACGATCTTGGCAAAGCACAATTAGAGCTGCCTTTCTTTAAATTTTATCAATGTTTTAAAGATTGGATCAATCTTAGTAGTAACAAGCATACACAAAAGATTTACTTAACTGAAGCCGAGGGACGTAAGTGTGTCAAAGACATAACGGAAGAATTGAGTCATAATTTATCACAACGTGAAAGCTCGTACATAGAAAGAAAATTAATTGATAACAGTCATATTGTTAGCGACCATGATTTCATCAAACGATTAATATACGACCAAGAAGAGAGCCAATTTTCTCTCTTAATCGGAGAGCCTGGTATTGGAAAAACAACTATCCTCCAATACATTGCCTTCGAAGTTCAAAAGAAATCCGATATTGATGTGTTCTTGATATATTTGAATAGCTTACAGGAAATGCTCAAAACGGGCTGTGAAAACTTAGAAACAGTTTACACAATTCTTAAACCGACTCTTTCAAAAACAAGCATGACAATATTGAAAAACAATCTAGAAAGCAACGCAAATCGGTCTATAATCATGTTTGATGGGTTCGATGAGATCACTTTTCATGACGAGGCAATCGCCATGTTTAAGCAAATATTGTCAAAGAAGAATATTCGAGTAATTGTAAGTGGAAGATATCATGTCAAAGGTATTCTTGAAACAGCTTTTGGAGCAGGGGCAATCAGATTGATTCCATTTGAAAAAGATGAACAAATGATGTTATTGAAAAATTCATGGAAAACTTCCGATGATTCAGAGGAATTTAAAAATTATTCAACTAAATTGTTCGAAAATTTCTGCTCGGATATAACAAGCTATGAGTTTAAATTCTTTGGGATTTCCCTTATGATTCGATTGTTGGCGGAAGCATATTCTGATGATTTCCAACAATATGTAAATACTGTTCCAGATCAACGCGTACAAAATATTTTCCCGACAGAAAAATTTAATGTTGTCTCATTGTTTAAAAAGATTGTGCAGTTTTCGTTTCAAATCAAATGCAAGAAAAATAGATCCCAAGATGCTTACCGAAATATTGACATGCAAAGTGATGAAGAAGAGAACCGTCAGTTAAAATACTTTATTTTTGAGCATCAAATAGCTGCCTGGAATCAGATTTTAAGGTATAACCATGAAGAAGTAATCACATCGGGTGAACACGAAACAATTTACAATGACCTTCAAAATCGAATCAAAAACGGAAAAGAGAACTCTCCTCTATTTAATATTTCCTATGGCAATCTTAGGTTCATACACTTATCATATGCCGAATTTTTTGCTGCAATGTATATATATCCAGAACAACATGTGAAAAGGGCATACAAGCTTTTTGTAAACAAACCTTCTTATGCCCTTTTCTCGCCACCCATATGACACCAACGCAAACCTTTAACATCACCGGGTAGGGGACACTTTCCCCTTCCCGATGATATTGCTGGTTTGCGTGGGCGACCCTCGGTTGCTGAGAAAAAGGCCTACAAAGGTTTGTTTACAAAAAGCTTGTATGCCCTTTTCACATGTTGTTCTGGATATGATTATATCAAAAAATGCAAAGCAATTTTGTACGAAACACTTGTTGATCATGAAACAGTTCGAAGATTTTTTTTTAATCTTACTGAAGAACAGTATTCAGAACAATCAGAGCAAATGATTGTTCTGAGCGATATTTGTAAAGATAAATCTAAGGTTGCATTCTGGGCATGTGAATCAAGTTCAGTAAAAGTAGTAAAGGAACTACTACAAAAGATTGATTTCAAAACTAGAAAACACGAAAAATATGGATCGTTATTACACACTGCGACGTATGCTGGTAATTCTGAGCTGGTTTTATTTCTACTTGATTATGGCATAGATGCTAATCTGATCGCCAACTTTGAGATATTTCAAGGTTATGATAAACACCTCAATACAAGTCCTCTGCACATTGCAAGTGAATATGGACATCTAGAAATTACTAATCTTTTCCTCGATGGATCTGCAAATGTGGATCATCAGGATGAAGAAAAAAGAAAACCTCTCCACTATGCAAGTAAAAATGGTCATCTTGAAATTGCAAAAATACTCATCGAAAGATCAGCCAACATGGATCATCAGGATAAAAAGAATAGAACAACTCTCCATTATGCAAGTAAAAATGGGCATCTTGAAATTGTTAAACTTCTCCTGGATAGATCTGCAACTGTGGATCTTCAGGATGAAAATAATAGAACATCTCTCCTCTATGCAAGTAAAAATGGACATTTAGAAATTGCTAAACTTCTCCTCTATAGATCTGCCAACGTAGATCATCAGGATGAAAAAAATAAAACACCTCTCCACTATGCAAGTAAAAATGGACATTTAGAAATTGCTGAACTTCTCCTCGATAGATTTGCAAATGTGGATCTTCAGGATGAAAAAAATAGAACACCTCTCCACTATGCAAGTAAAAATGGACATTTAGAAATTGCTAAACTTCTCCTCTATAGATCTGCAAATGTGGATCTTCAGGATGAAAATAATAGAACGCCTCTCCACTATGCAAGTGAAAATGGGCATTTAGAATTGGCTGAACTTCTCCTCGATAGATCTGCAAATGTTAATCTTCAGGATGAAAATAATAGAACACCTCTCCACTATGCAAGTGAAAATGGGCATTTAAAAATTGGTAAACTTCTCCTCGATAGATCTGCAAATGTGGATCATCAGGATGAAAATAATAGAACCCCTCTCCACCATGCAAGTGAAAACGGGCATTTAAAAATTGCTAAACTTTTCCTCTATAGATCTGCAAATGTGGATCTTCAGGATCACAGGATCACGGACATCCCTCCTCTAGGAGACGGTTGCGTGTTCTTTCTGTTTGCAGATGACACCGCGATAGCTGTCAAGGGTAGGATGCCTCGTGAAATTACGAACAAGCTCCAACGATGCCTTGACACCTTTACTGATTATGCCACCACGTGGAAAATCAAAATCAACGCCTCGAAAACCCAAGCGATCATGTTCCTTCACAGACAATCATTAAAACTTAAACCGTCTCCCTCCTGTACCGTAATAATGGATGGTACAAGGGTCGAGTGGTCCACTGATGTTACTTATCTCGGGATGTTGTTCGATGAGAAGCTCCTGTTCCGCTCGCACATAGAGAAAACCCTAGTTAAGTGCTCCGCCTTGGTTAGGTGTTTGTATCCGCTCATTTGCCGCAGATCCCGCCTCTCAAGGCAAAACAAACTGGCTGTTTACAAACAGATCATAGCCCCCGCGATCTTCTATGCCGCCCCGGTGTGGGAATCGTGCGCTCAGACCCACAGGAACAAAATCCAGGTTGCACAGAATAGAGTGTTGAGGATGATCCTAGATCGTCCATTCGACACAAGAATAGCAGACCTCCATCAAGAGGCAGAAATTCCCAAAGTAGATTCCAAAATTGATGATATGACAACCAAATTTATTCAAAAATGCAATCTTTCTGAACATGCTTTAATAAGCAATTTGTACATAGTAGGTTAAGTGTATATAGTAGAGTAGGTTAGTTTTAAGCTGTAAATAGTAGTATTAAGTAGTTTCTCTTCAAATTCTAAAAACAAAACAAACCAATCCCACCAAGGTGGTCGACCGTGTACTAAGTCTAGGACTAATTCTGTATAACAAATTTTGAATTTTGCCCATACCTAAAGATGAAGAAAGCAATTAAATCACTTAGTAAAAAAAATTTATATGGTAATCGTCCAAGTTAAACTGAAATAAAGATCATTTAAACTAAACTAAAAGCAACAGCCATCACATTCGCTGCCAGACTGTTGAGCAGTTCAGTCGATTTGAATTCTCTCTAGTTTCGTTCGTTCGTTCGCAAGTCGAATTAGCTCCGCGTTGTATAGTGACGCTCTCGCTGACCCAGCCATGGGTAAGAAATCGCGCGGTAACGCGAGTGCCGGTTTACCGGGAAAACAGACTCTCCCAGGAGACGGCGCGACCACCGAGCCAGCCCAGAAGAAGCAGAAGAAAACCCCATTGCCCGTCCCGACAGGCGTTGCGGACCCGCAGCCGGGGCCTCCCGGAACTAAACGACCCAGACCTGAAGACATCAGCGCCACCGCATCGGCAGCAAAAAAGCTGCTGAGCAACAATCCGTTCTCCGCCCTGCAGAACGGAGCCCAGCCGCAGTCGGACCCTGAGACGGTGCCTAAAAAAGTTAAGTTGCCACCCTTCTATGTGAAGGGCTTCCCTCCCGGGCTATGGGAGCAGCTGGATTTCTACATTAAGCAGGGCCTTCGCTGCACCATTCAACGGTGCACGGAAGGCTACAAACTGATGGTATCGGCCGAAAATCACTACAACGCAGTCCAGGCCCTCTTGGACAGGATGAAGCTGGAGTACTTCTCCCACGACGTCGAGGCCACCAAGCCGCTGAAAGTGGTGCTGCGCGGGCTCCACGACATGGACACCACCACCTTAATGGACGAGATTAAGGCGAACGGCCTCAAGCCGGTCGAAATCCACAAGATGACCCGCAGCAAGGCCATCAAGTATCGTGACCAGCTCTACTTGGTCCATCTGCAGAAGAACTCCACAACCGTGAAGGATCTCCATACGACACGCACACTGTTCCACATCGTAGTGAAGTGGGAGCGGTATAAGCCAACCCACCGTGGCGTCACTCAGTGCTCGAACTGCCTATTGTTCGGGCACGGCACCAGGAACTGCCGCATGGCCAGCCGCTGCATCAAATGCGGCAAAAACCACAAGATCGACGACTGCGACAGCATCGAGGAAGCCGCTCCCACATGCGTCAACTGCGGTGCTGCCCACAAGGCCACGAGTAAGGCCTGTCCGAAGCGGGCCGAATACGCCGAGATCCGGAAGAAGGCCTCGTCCAACAACCAGCCCGGTCGCAAGAAGGTCCCGGAAAACAACGCGCAGAACTTTCCTCCGTTATCACCGGTCCAACCACGGCCAAATCCAGTGTTGGCGCCGCTCCCGCTCAACCAACAGTTGGCTGCTGCCCAGTCGGCTGCCGCTGCAGTACCCAGTCAAGCCTCCGGCCCATCGACGGATCCCCCTGCTCCGGGATTGGCCGGTACAACCGGTGAAGCTACAGACGATTCTCCGCTGTCAACGGATGAGATCGTCACACTGTTGGCCCAGGCCATCATCATCAAGCGCACCTGCGCAACAAGAACGCAACAGCTCCAAGCTATCATCTCCTTCGTCGTTAATTATGGACCGTGAACCCATAAAGTTCGCCAACTGGAACGCTCGCTCCGTAGGGGCGAAAAACATTGAGCTTGCAGACTTCCTCCGCAAGCACGACATCGACGTGGGCCTTCTCACCGAGACTCACCTCAAGACCGGTGACAGCTTCTGGCTGCCCGACCACAGCATTGTCCGGCTTGATCGCACCAGCTCCAGGGGGGGCGGTGTCGCGGTCATCATCAAGAAAGGCATCAAGTACTGCACCCTACCCCACTACCGCACTTCCATCATCGAGGCCGTCGGCGTTGAGGTGGAAACATCGACCGGAAACGTCCGGTTCATCGTTGTCTACTGCCCCCGGCAATGTACCGTTAGCAATGGTACAGCACAGCAGTTCAAGAACGACCTTGCCATCATAACCCACACCAATGCCCGCTTTGTAATCGGAGGGGACCTGAACGCCCGGCACGAGGCCTGGCGGAACTACCAGCAGAACCAGAACGGCCGCCTGCTATTCGACCATTCCCAGCATGGTCTCTATTCCGTCTGGTTTCCGGACGAACCAACCTTCACATCACCGACGGGCAACCCATCGACGCTGGACCTGTTCTTGGCAAACACCAGATTAGCCAAGCCGGTTGCCGTCAACGACCTGAGTTCGGACCACCAACCGGTGCTGACCGAGCTGGGCTACAACGTGGCCCCTGCACCGTGCCAGCGGAAGGACTACCATCGAGTCAACTGGGTCCAGTTTCGACGCGTGGTCGACCGCCACATCGACGACAACCCACCGCTCGATACAGTGGAGGACATCGACCGGGCCCTGGAGGGTCTCCATCAAGCCATATCCGTGGCTGACGAAGAGTGCGTTCGACGAGTTCCTGTGAGGGGTAAGTTTCAAGCAATTGATTCCCACACCAAACTCTTGATTCGGCTCAGAAATGTTCGTAGACGCCAGTTTCAGCGGACTGGGGATCTGCAGCGTAAATACGAAATGGTCGATCTGAATCGGCAGATCGCTTCCAGAATGGTCTCAATCCGGAACGAGAGTTTCGGGCGGCTCGTTCAGAACCTGGACGACCGTTCCAGACCATTCTGGAAGGTTGCCAAGGTGC